CCCACTGAATTGGTCATGTGACTATGAAATAAGGGTGTCCAGGGACTCTAGGGGATTAATTGTCAAATTAATCGTTATCGGCTAAATACCACAATTAATCGTGTTTTTTTTTTTTTTGCCAATATTGCCCAACCCTACATGTGCGGAACGCCACACAGGGGTGGGGAAGGCGCGATTGCGGTACTATTGGTGTGCGCACCGTGTCAACTGTAAACCTACCTTCAGGGTGCTGTTTATATGTGTTTAGGTTTGGTACTTCCTGAAAATTAGAAAACGCCAGCAGTGGAATGCTCTCTCTCCTTTCCTTCCTTCTGCTTCCTTTTTAGGTACTCTTGTTTCCTCTCCTATCTGGCTTTACGAACACCTTGTCTATACAGATCATTGATCCAGATAATAATTCTGAAAATTTCTAAAACATGTCCATAGTCCTTTCTCCAATTAGGGTTTCCAGATGTCGACAGTCAGTGCTCTGTTTGCTGACGTGTAGCCCTAAAATAAATGCTATAAAAATTGATTAAAGTGGCCTAAAGCACACCAAACAGTGACATTGGGTGTTGTTTTAGTACCTGCACAAAAAAACTTCACATAGGTTTTACAACCTGGGGACATCAGCATGCATTGTGGTCCACTAGTGGGACAAATGACTGAGCAGTAAGGTTGGCATGAAATCTGGCTGCTTCATATTTTGCTGCAGTTTAAACTGATGCTTTTATGACATTGTGGCTCTAGAGGGGTGAGTGGTGGTCTTTTTCTTCTATTGCTTTCAATATTATTATGTCTTTTTTGCTCTTCATTTTATTCCCCAGCTGGTTGCAATTTCCACAAAGATTGAACTCACCTATTAAGTCATTTTTACTGCATCCTTGTGCTTAGCGAACAAATGTAATCTGCTCTTCTGTTTTCCCTCTCTCAACACTCATCCATTTAAGGTTTTCTTTTGTAAGTGCTGTGTCCTCCAGAGCTCTGCGTTCCCTGAGGTGCAGCAGAGCAGTCGCCAGGCTGATTATGCTCTATCTGTCAACCTCTCTGCCCTCTTTGTTCCTCTGGACCACACTGCCAACTCCCAGACTAATCCTGTCTTTGTTCAAGGCTTTCTCATTTGCTCAGACCAAGATTGCACGTTGCAACACAAGTGACTCCAAGGCGCAAGTGAAATTACCCAAAAATGTGACCTCTATGACTGTCGAGAAATTTTCTAATATAAATAGGATCATTTTAAGCAGCTGAGTTGTGGTAGGTGTTTTATTTTTGTAGTCGTGTGCAGATCTCAGCTCACTAATGATTCGTTTTGATTGCTTGAAGCTGCTGAGCCATGGTTTCCTCCAGATGCTAATTAGCACACTGTTATTTAGAATTGTCTTGAGTGAAAGGTGTGCAAGGTGATTCAGAGCTCTATTGTCCTCTGTGGTTTGTGATAAATGAGGTTTTGTCATTTTTTATCCCCCTCAAATTCAAATCTTTTGTTTGGCCTCTAGGGGGCAGTGCAACCAAACAGGCTGCCTTTAGAGTCCATTTAGGTCAGTTTTATTTACATTTTGTGTTGCATGGATGAAAACCAGCAAGGTAAGCCAATATTCAGTAAACATGTGAAATCTCTAATGTTTTACAGAATATAGTTTTTTACTTAACATATTTTTCACCATTCATTGCTGCATGGTATAAGCATACAGGCTAATACCATAAAATATAGAAACAGTTTACATAATTTGTCCTTTTGTCTCTRAATCTCCCTAATCGAATAGGAATAATTTAATAAACATTTATAGTCCCTTCAAATRATAACAGCTTTCCCTTTTAACAAAATTTGATTGTATGTTTGAAGGTAATACATTTTTATGAGCTTTATACATAGCTTGCCGAATATGATATTCAACCAACTCATAAAATTGTAAWAATTTTAACTGATGAAACAATGTATTATATGGGTGATAGTAATGCTTTCTTGTAATAATTCTTATGGCTCTTTTTTGTAAAATGAAAATAGGTTTAGTAATTGTTTTAAATGCATTTCCCCAGACTTCTATACAATAAATCTTATGTGAAACAATTATTGCATTTTATAGTATAAATAGTTCTTTATCATTAAATAACTCCTTAACGTTATACAGAACTGCAACAGATTTTGCCATTTTTGTTCTTAAGTAATTTATATGATGACTCCCAAAAACTTCACCTCACTGACTCTTCAAATTTCACCACCATCCACTCTAAATGGAACATAAGTTGTTTTCTTTCTACTAAATATTARGTAATTTGTTTTATCTAAATTATGATTAAACCAATTTTGTACTTTTACAAATTCTATTTCCATCATTTCCAACATCCGTTTTATGTTCTAATGATTAATTAGACTGAAAATATTATTTCTAAGACCTTCATACCGTATATGTTATGCATCAGATTTAATTGTAGAAGACTCWTTTTATAAATGTCTAATTTGTATTCTGAAGAACTGTAGCTCATTGGCATCATCTGCAGCCCAGTGACAGAGACCTTGCTCTCTCTGGGAGATCTCTTGGAGATTTTATTCAAATAAATGTTTCACTGATGTTGATGCCCATCTGCCTCTGGATCAAACTGATACTTGGAGTCTGAGAGAAAGCTTGTCAATGCAAATAAGTAAATTGATATTCTGTAACTGTTCACTGTGTTTTCTTTTAGAGCTGAATTAATCAGAGAGTCGGTTCAAGTTATTCATATCTGAGTTTTGTTCCCACATCAGCAGGCAGGTCAAATGTTACGAACTTTTATCTTGTGATAAGACTCTAGACTCCAATTCATCAAAGTAACCCTAAATCTGCCACATAAAAGAAAACCTACTTCACACGTCATTTTTTAAAATAGGTTTTCATCCTGGCTAATCTAAAGTAAACTAGAGGTATTTGACATCTTATAAACATTTTTGCAATCAAACATACAGTAATTCAGCACTTACTTAGCCAGTATCTACCAAAAATGCCAAATAGAGACGTGGAGTTAATGGCTGCCGTTACAGTGAACCTTAAGGTCATGTGACCAGTCCACACTCTTTTATATAACTCAATGGTGGGACATATTATGCAAAATCCACTTTTTTTTAGCTGTTAAATGTTGTGTAGGAATGTGGAGATTTTGAATTTTAGTCTCTCCCAGTGCTGCTTAGATATCTTTATTCTGTTTGGGTCATATTTTTCAAACAGTTCAGTTTTCTCTTCTCCCTGTTACCTATTTTGAACAATACACTATTTGCTGCTAAACTGATTAAAAAACGTTCATGGACTTCTGACTTACTAATTTTGCAACTCTGCAGTTCTGTATTCTCCTCTGGCTCTGAMTCAGACTCTGATTCCAACATMTAAGGATGGTAGGACCAGTCTTCTGTTGTTGACATGTTTTAATCAATTTGCATTTAAGGGACAGCACCAAAATGAGTTTATCTGAGACATATCTCAGGAAAGGGGTGAAAGATGGGTTTGTGGAGTTACAATAAGGAGGAATCCAGACCAAAGCATTGCAGGTCCACTTTATATAGACCCCAACTGAATAAAATGAGTGAAAAAGAAAGATTTACAAGCATATATCCTATTTAAAATCACTACAAACACTCTGAAAGTGTTGCTGCAACTATATGAACAATTTAGAAAACTTGATTTAAAAATACATATAAGTAATGAAACAGAATAAATCTAAAATAGCTGTGTCATTTCCTTATTGGTCTCTTAACACAGTGGTTCCAAACCTTTTTTGACTTGTGCACCCCCTGAGCRATTTTGTCATACCACTAGTACCCCTCAGTCAAACATGACTATAATGTACAACAACTGATTATTAAGGGCGACTGTGGTGGAGTGGCTAGGGGAGTTGGCCTGGAACTGGAAGGTTGCCGGTTCGATTCCCCCATCCACCTGTCTCAGTCATTGTGTCCTTGGGTAAGACACTTCACCCACCTTACCTACTAATGGTGGTCAGAGGGTCCGCTGGCGCTGGTGCATGGCAGCCTAGCTTCTGTCAGTGTGCCCCAGGGCAGCTGTGGCTACAATGTAGTTTACCATCATCAGTGTGTGAATGGGTGAATGTCTGTAAGTGTAAAGCGCTTTGGGGTCCGGAGGGACTTGATAAAGCGCTCTATAAGCTCAGTTCATTTACCATTAAATGAAAATTATTTATGTAACTCCCTAGAAAGTTTAATTCTCAGGCATTTTATTTTTTTTCAACCCAAATTAAACAAAGATAAAAATGTTGCCTTGAAAGTGAAAAAGTAATTAAACAAATAAACCAGGTAATGGCAGGTGAAGGAAGCAGCAGCATCCAAAATACATCAGAAACTCCCCCAAATGAGAAAATTCTGTGAGATTCCGCATTTAATACAGGGTTCCATTTTGTGTCAGTTCTGTGATTCCGTATGCATTTTCCGCACCACAGAAATCATAGGGACCTACATATCTCAGTCCTATTTTTATTTATTATTTTACACACCTGGGAAATTTTCCCACGTACCCCCTGTAACATGCGCGTGTGTGTGTGTGTGTGTGTGTGTGTGTGTGTGTGTGTGTGTGTGTGTGTGTGTGTGTGTGTGTGTGTGTGT